TCCGAACAAACATTTATCTCCTATATTTTAGGATAATAATGAACACTTATAAACTCCAATAAACACAGCAAGACATTCAATGTAAATTCCTGACAAAATAAACAAAAAAACAAAACAATCTACTGGTCCTGTAAGGTGAAGGTTTCTGAGGCCCTGAGCTTCCTAATGTACACCGAGGTAACCTGGACTCGTTGAAACTACCTGGGGTGGCCTAGAATCTGATGATGATTGAATGTGTCCTGTCCTGTGGAAGTGGGTGCATTCGTGATTCAGGTCACTGAGTGAAATGCATGTACAAAGTAAGGCTGCATTCAAACAACATCTGCTTTGGGAAGACCATAAATTAACTGCTTTGGTTTTTTACTTCATCTTCCTGCACTTGCTCTTACAGGTGTAAGATGTGAGCCTCATCTTGGTCACTCCCATTTAGACCAAAATTATATAGCCAATTGCATTTTTCATATAACCTCTGGGATCTCCTGGTCTAACAACACTTTCAGTCAAAGGCACTTGGGACACTTTTTCAATCCTTTGCGGCATCAGGTCTAGACGTGGCTCCTTAAAGAGCCAAGTTTCCAGCTATAAGGTTGCCCAAGTCTGTGATTAGTACCCTGTACAGGACATCAACTCTTACTCTCAATGTTACCATATTTACATATATATTAAGCGGAACTTAATCTAGCAACTGAGGCTACAACCACTTTAAAAATATTTTTAATAAGATTACAATATAAGTGAGAATTTAATAATTTTTTATAAGCAGTCACACTAATGGCCACCACAAAAAATATGCAGGTTTAATGCACTTACACACATTTAATTCACTTTTAAGACCTAAATGCCACGTTCATTCAGAAGAAGGGAAGAAGTAAGCAGGGTAGCCTCTGCAGAACTGCATGTGTTACACCACTCCAGGACAACTTGGTGTAAACAGCAAACCGAGTTTATTTGGGTACTCCAGAACCGTGGCTTTCACATACAGAACCCAAGAATACTCTCTTCTTTTTTCTTTTTTTTTTTACAGAACTTTTTTTTCCTTTTCTTTTTGCCGTGACTGCCCTCTACTGGTGGAAAACATGTAACAGCCAAAAATCCAAACATATAGCTGAGTAGCCCAAATACCAACAGATTTATGCAATGTTTTAGACATATTTTAGCTTTACACTTTACCAAGTGCTACATTCCTCCCCTGCTAAATAAATGTTGTCCCAACATTGACAAAACATGACAATAAGAAACAAAAATAAACAGATATACTTCTTTTTTTCTTGTGACAATGTGGAGATGACGTAAGTTGGGATAGGGTTTAGCAGTGCTTTAAGATCACTTTCACGATGCACTATTGAACCTCAGGTGACACTAGCCTATAGAATCACATGTTACTCGCTGACCAGATGAGCATAGGCTTATAACAATGCTGAGTTGTTTCTAATAGTCCACATAGAAATATTACCCTCTAAGACATTACTATCACTTTATCACATGCTCCAGAACTTAGATAGTAACCATTTAATCACAATTAGCCTCATCAAACATAATACAATCCAATGTCTTGCGCTACCATCCCGAAAGCATCAAATACTTGTGTCACCATACTGGTAAGACCTTGTAAGTACTCATCTATTTTTGAAAAATAACACCATTTAAATTCAGAAAAACTCTTTCACAGTTCAATAATAACTAACTGGTACATAAGCTGGATAGTAAGGCATTTGTAGAACTGCCCAAGGTACTCCAAACTGTTCATAGAATGGAGATGCTGTTGCACTGGCATACA